AACCCTCAGATTGCGAATCGAGCGCCCTAACCACCTGGCCATGCCGGGCCTAACATATTAAGAATTAAAATAACATGTTTTCTCTCACAATTAAAGGTCATCAGATTTAACCGCGCTATTTTATCTTTTTTTTTAACTATAAAACAATTTTTGTTGTTAAGCGCAAAGTTACACAATGGGCTATTTGTGCTGTGCTCACCACAGGTATCGAAATCCGGTTTTTAGTGTTATAAGCCTTCAGACATACAACTAAGCCACTGAGCTCTATAAAATAATGCAGATTTATATTCACAAAACAAGCTCAACGCTCTCTAGTGGCAAGTGAAACAAACTTTTTGTTTCTTGCAAGATTTATCAGTTACAGACTTACAGCAAAAATTAGCATTCAACATTCACTATTATATTATAATAAGAGTAATGCAAGCTTTATTAACCAGCTCCTCTGGTGGAAAAGAAATGCTAATATAAAAAAGGGTTTTCTCCTGTAACGTTATTGCCCCTGATGGGAGGCTTAATGTATCAGCCTTTATAGGGAAAAATACTATAATCATTACGAGAAGAAAATTTTATTTTTGTAAAGTATCAATAGGTGTTTTGACATTCATATGTTTGTTACTGCTCACAACGCTGGGGTTAGTAAATGAATGCGTATTTTACAAATAACATGAAACAAAGATTGGGCGAAATTTGTACAAAACATCTTTGAGTGTATAAAATATATCGGGAAAAAAACATGAAAAAATTTAAGTCTTCCAAAAACGTTCATAAAACTTTGGAAAGCCCCTTTTTAAAATCCCAAATAATATGTTAAGCTGAACTAGTATATAAATTTCCAAAGTTGAAATTTGAGGTAACAGTAACTGTAAATTTCAAAAATTGTACTAATCTGTGTAAGTAGTATTTTTGGTTGTTTTCTAAGTCTGTGATTGCTAAAACCTTAAATCAACATTCAGTTGTTTACAAACTACTTCGTCTTGTTGAACAGCTATTCATTTAACAAACATACGTCATAAGGCTCCACACGCTATTCTGATTAGATATATGAAATGGTAAACATACACGCATCCATTCTGATGCCAATCCCCTTGTGTTCAGATAATATAATAAAACGTCCATTAGAGCCCCCCAAAAACAGAGAGAGCTTGTAAAACTTTAGGTTTTGTAAATCAAATATATTCGACATTTCAGGGCTGCTGTGATAGAGTAACCAGTGATGCCTCATCGCTTCTAACGGTGTTTGTCTAGCCATTTGTTTGTTTGTTTCTTCTCTGTGTGCTTTTTCTCGTAAAGTCTGGTATAGAAAGACATAAGAAAAGCCTCATTTCTAGACCCTCGTATATGCCTTACAGTGTAGGCCAATGTTCACGTAAAAAGCCACAGGGTGACTGGAGATTGAAGAGTTTTGACCATTTGCGGTAGCGTGGCATTAGGCTTAGCACCCAACAGTCCTGTTTAACACTGATGTCACAGGAGAAAGCACTTGGCAAGTAATCTCATGGGCCGCGTCTATCCTCATTAAGGCTAGCAGGTTACTCCAGCGGGAGTCTTGCAAGCAATCCTTCATTGGTAGGGTACTGACAGACAGCCTCGCCAACTTCACGCGACGCTAGTGCTCTATGGGTGACTGCTGCTCGCTAGGAGGGGACGATGCGCATTAAGCCCTAATGTCTGAAACATTTGGCAGCCCGAATCAATTCTCTTGACACTAACAGAATGCCTACCATTACAATCTTAACTGCGACCGAACGTACCATCTGCTAATATCTACTGAGTGGTTTTTGTTTTATTCTCTTTTATTTCTAACTTCGTTTCACGTTTGGCCAGTTTAAAATCATAATACCACATTGAATACACATACATAGATAGTATCATAAAAACGTTTGCAAGATTGCGAGTTAATTAATAAATAGCCAGTGGTAGATGGATTAATACCTTGAAAGACATGCAAACAAAGGTGATAATAAATGATAAATAAAGTTAAATACGGAGCTGAAAGAGAAAGTGAAATGGTGGATGAGTCAAATAATAGAGAGAAAAAAAAATCAAGATTGGATACTAATCAAAATATAAAATTTATTAGATTTTGTTGTTTTTGCTTCCAAAAATAAAAATAAAGTCTATGTTATTTTCTTAAATATAGCAAATTTTCAGAAAGTATTCTAAGATTAAATAACTTTGTTAGAAATAAACGTTTTCTTTAATTCAGGACAACGTAGCTTCAGCCAATCAACAACATACTTTTCACTCGGTTTTTGTTTTCAGTTGACAATGACAAATATCGCGACTCAATAAATTACTTTAAATCACTAAACTAGCTTCATCATGAAATCAGTTTCTCCTTTTTATTACTGCATTGTACAATTTAAGATGATAAATCAAGTAGCCAACACATGATGATCAGTGTGAAAAGTTTTATATACGTTTAATACAATGCAACAATTTTAGCAAACTATTTTGATTTAAGCTCAGTGTTTCGCAGTGTAATTCTATAATTAGTTGCAGGGAGTGGTGTTCTGGTACACGACTTCATATCGGGATTAGTTTGAATTATAAATATCAATTCACACTACTGACTAGCAAATGACAAGCAATATTTGGATATTATAAAGATTTTACGACTGAAATATGAAATACAGAAAGTCTATAGATGAATATAGGAAAAGTTTATGCTGCTAACAGAATTACAGACAGATGTGCAATGGGGGAGAAATAGAGTGAGAATGAATGAAACCGCACCAAGGTATAATTTAATTATAATTCAGACAGACATAAAGTGACCGATGTAATAAATTCACAGAGATATACGTAAAAAATAAACACAAACTGACATACAGATATATATACTATATATAAACAGATCCAACATAATGATATGAAACAAATCAGCTAAACAGTTTACATAATGGTAGGTAGATACTAAAACGGTGTTTAGAACAAAGCCTAATATCGTAGACAACTTATCTTAATTTATCTTTTTGAAGCTTTAGAAGATGCGTCAACAATGTTACGTCCAGTTAAATATAAATAAAATATTTCAACTCTGGGTGCGTTATAGTAATATCAGAAAACAAATGTAGTCACTCAGAACGGAAAACGTGCAAAATTGTGACGTTAAGTGAATATACACCAAAATAATGTTTCAATTCTGTATACACTACTAATTAGGAAATAAGCATGTATAGTCGGAATAAATTCTCGAAATCACTTTGTAAACATGAAATATATATATAAGGTACTGTGTTGTATGCATATGTATGTGATGACCTCGGGTTCTTTACACAGAGAATATACAAAATTTTAATATAATTTACTGCTCCAAGGAAGCTAAACAAATCAAGACTAAGGTAATTTATCTGGAGATAAAGCCTTCAAATAAAAAAAGTCACAACAGGACCAGCAAAAGAATCCAATTTCCTCGAGTGAGCCACGATTTAGTCCCGCGTCGTCTGTTCTAATTAGAGATAGGCTGCTACGGATTTTACAGTCGCTGAGTCTCACGACGCGAAAAGAGACAGGGACAAAGCGTGAAGGCTGAAGAGAGATAGAGAAAGAAAGGCGACAGCAGGGTTTAAATCACAATTTCGTTCTCAATCCCCGAGAGCGGCGAAGAGAGGTATCGAAAATCCGTCGGTAGTCAGTGCAGACGGTGACTGTTAGGCAAGCCACAAAGGGCCGAGACTCTCTCGGTCCCATCAGACTAGATAAAACCCCAGGAAATGAAAGCAAACCTCAAATCCCCCGGTGAAAGCTGCTGAGAGCCCGGTATTCAGCCTGGGGCGAGCTGCCACAGAAAGCTTCAGTAAAAATAAGGATTTAGTGGAAGAACCAAATAGGTTGCCTAGGCGACCGCACAAAGCAACCACCCATAGACGGACCGTGCGTCCACAGCAAGCACCACTGACAAACATGGATATGCTATGTGCAACAAGGGGAGAGGGGGATATAAGGATTTTATCTTTCCTATAGCTACTTCTGGCTCTTGGTAATAAATTCTAGCTGCCTTTGGCACGTTTCCCTGGGATTACGCGTAAAAATCGTGGAATTCCAAAGCTTTCTGCTCGCAGGTGGCACTTTACGCACTATGGTTGTCACTGCTAAGCAACCCGTCTCTAAGGAGCATGGAAAAACTTTCATTGCCCACAAAGGTAGAGGCGTGATAACACGTAGAAACGATGACACAACTCAACTTTTGTGACCAAAACTACGTTACTATACTAGAGAGAAGTAGACCGTGAAAAAAAAGGGACAAAAGTGAAATGTCAGAAGGTTAAAATACAAGATAAATCGAACAACAATACTCTTGAAACGTTCAACTTATCACCATACTTCGTTTGTTCGTAACTATTACTCAATTTTTCCACCTAGTCTGGGTCAAAGAACCATATTAGTAAATCTACGTAGCTTTTAGGATATAATATCACAAAGGCTGGTCACATTAAAACTCTACAGGATAAGAGAAAACAATTTCAGACAGTATGTAAGATGGTAATTTTATTACATCAACTATCGGTTTCAAAATGGCTATACAGACAGAATAGAATAAATTTGTCAATAAAACCATAAAAAATCCGCTAAATCCAAATATGCAAGAGAATACAGGATGACGACGAACATATTGATGGGTGGTGAGAAATGTTCGTTGAAAATAAATTTGGTTTGTTTGTTTTGAATTTCGCGCAAAGCTACACGAGGGCTATCTGCTCTAGCCGTCCCTAATTTAGCAGTGTAAGACTAGAGGAAAGGGAGCTAGTCATCACCACCCACCGCCAACTCTTGGACTACTCTTTTACCAACGAATAGTGGGATTGACCGTCACATTACAACACCCCCACGGCTGAAAGGGCGAACATGTTTGGTGGGATGGAGATTCGAACCCGCGACCCTCAGATTGCGAGTCGAGAGCTCTAATCACCTGGCCATGCCGGGCCGAAAATAAATTTACACATATTATTACACTATCTTATTTTCTGTCACAAGTTTTTAACTGAAGAACTGTTAGAATTCTGAAAAGTTTGAAGGCATAGTTTCCGTTTTCAATACAACTGAAGCATCGAATTTAAACGTTGTTATAGTTTAGTTTGCAAACTAACAATAATTATACTCTCAAGTACAGATTGAATATTTCTAGAATGAACTTTTAAGTTCTTGAAAAACATTTCTTACATTTCGTATGCTATGTGTTGGACTACTCTGTCAAGGCCATAAACATCTAACCGTTATTTATAGCACATGATAGTTGCACGAGAAAACAAAATAATTGCACATCATTTTGGAAAAATAACTATTTCTGCTGTACAACTATTTAATGAAAGCTTACGTTATAAATAAATTTAATGAAAATTTCCCTCTTCTGTTGCAAGCATTAACTGCCCATAGTTCACAATCGAGCTTTTATGGTCTTTAGCCAAATGCTGTCTTTTCAAATAGTGTCTGGAAATACATTAACCCTTAAGGGGCTTTGGATAATGGGTTATACTATAGGACTAAAATCTTCTGAGTCCATAGTCCACATAAATAATAAAACACAAGCCTGAAATGGGCAATGTAATAACGTTTATGTCTTCCAAAACAAATAGATAGGCACAAATACAACCTCATTTCCGAAACAGAACTTCTTGTTCCCTTTATGTTGAATATTTATCAATTAATAACTAGCCTGCAAGTCAAGGAGGCATGTTTGGTGGGTTGATTTTCAAACAAAGCTTTCCGGAACTCTTAAAGAAACAACAACTTCGAACATAGATTTGAAATTCTTGCGATATTTTGAAACTAAATTGCCCACCAGCGTGGCCGAATTCGCACTAGTTTCAAGGCTATGAGAGAGTAAAGTACATACTCCCATCCAAAGTTCCACCCAACATAGTAATGGTCGCACACGTACATGTTGTGCAGTGCAGAGTCTTGTTCCTCGGCTCTATTAAGCAGTTTTCTCCGCGGCTTTTGCGAGTTCTGTCGATATAGATAGGCGAGGAAGACTCAATCAAGCTTACTTACTTACTTACTTCCCGCTGTAAGGAGGTTAACTATGGTACCTGCGTGAACATGAACACGTCTACTATCTTGTGCAAGAGAAACACAGT